TGTTTGTTTCTGCCGGACGTTCCGTCACTCTTCGGGAGTGAAGGCAGTCAGCCCAGTGACTCTTTTGGAATTTCTTTGTTGAAACCGAGAGAAAGCGTGTTTCCTTATGCAGAGTTGCAACTTTTCAATGAACCTGAAATCCAGGTGACAAAACAGATTTTTGTCTATGACTCGAACTACTTGATGTTGTAGGCAACGTGCCAGGGTACCCCATCTTGTGTCTCAGACTATTTCTCCAGTGGCAATCTGGAAAAAGCACTCGACACTCTACAGGCTGAGAAAACGTTCCAGGAGTACAAAAGACGCGGAGAAAAGAAACGTAAAACGCAGAATCAGTTTTGTAATTTTTCCTTCAGACGTCGCCTAATTTCAGACATTAGCTGTGGCCCACTGCAGAAAAGCCCCGGCGCAATAAAGTACCCGGCCGGAAACAATTATCTGCATGGAAGTACGGTCATTTTCACGTGTGAGACTGACTATTTCCTGCACGGAACGCCCGAAAGGTACTGCAATGGTGGCACCTGGACTCCGGGTTGGCCTGTCTGGTGTCGCAGTAAGGACAGGCATGATAATAACCAAACGCTTATTCTGCATCAAGGCTACTTAAGGTAGGCAACTGGAATGCGGCTTGAAGTGGCTGACAGGTACTCTGAGTGCAACGACAGTGGCAGTACTCATTGGAGTAGTTTTTCTGTTGGCATACCGCAAAGGTTTTAAGAAAAGAGGAAAGAACGTTTCTTTCTTCCCAAGATTAGTCACTGGACGTCCCGCTATTGCAAAGTAATTAGTGATATTTCAGTGACAATGCTTATCGCCATTCGACCATCGTTTAAGGTGTGACGACTCTGGCATTGATGAAAACCGACGTGCAGCTGTAGACGGGCAGCAACCCAACAATATTCGTGGCTCCGCCATCCTAAGCCGAACTTTTCAAGCAGCATCCTACCATGAAAGTTTGTGCTGAATCTAGACCAAAGCTTCGAGTTTGATTATGTACTTAAATGCTAGTAAACTTACTGTCGTGCCGTAAATCATTAGTATTAGAAAGCCGCCTGCGTAATTAATATGCAGTGACAATTTACATTGTCAAGTCAGGAGCAGACTGACGAAAAATTTAAAACCATTCTGCCATTAACGCGACGGCCTCAGTGCTGTTCATCTCATAAATGTTGCCAAGCTTTATATCAGGTTCTGTTGTACTCAAAAGCTTATTTGCACACAACGCAAATAATCTGATTCACTGGATGATTTCCACTATCAACGTTCAGCCTTTAAAGAGGTTCTTCTGGTCGTCTGCAGCAGTTCGTAAACATGGAGCCAGAAAGAGAGCTTTTAGTCCGTGATGCCGGTTAAGTAGTTTTCTAGCGAGAGGAGCAAGATCCATTTAATCCTTGCAGAGTTTTTATAACTTGTCACTTTATGAGACTATCGCAGGACTGCATGACTGGTTTCTTCGTGACGTGTCTCAATGCTTTACTTTGAAGAAGCTGGTGCACTTCATCGAAGAGATGCGTGCCCTTCCTGCGCCGTGTCCCTCGTGTTGTAAAATTCCAGAAATCTTCTCGCAGTGTTCTTTGAGTCAAGTGGAGATTATACTCTGTTTTCTTCCAGGAGCTCCCTTACCATGTGCATAAATAAACTATTTTATAGTACTTTCATACATACATACATGACCATCGTAAAAAGCAAATACTCAATCTTTATATCTGTATCTATATATCCTTCATCGGTTGTCAATAGTAGATACTTCAGTAACCTGTATTCATACAACTAGAACAAGTGGCTCTCACTTCGGCTATGCAAAAGTACGGGTAGCAATATGTAACAAAAAAGGAACTCGAACTGATATTAGTGCATATTCACTTATGGACGATGTGCGGGAGTGAATAGAAACAAACGTAAAAGTCCGCTATATGAATGTGCGAAAATTCCTATCAGCGGCTCAGAGATTTTTCATCACATGAAGTCAACGACGCGTCATCTCCCGCGTAGCGTTTCATTCAACACAAAAGTACGCAATGTCCGAAACACTCCCTAGTAACGTATTGGCAACGAGTGCTCAGATAACATAATCTAACATTCATATCTCCAAAATGCCTGAATAACAGTTTTATACTGTTTATAGCGTGGGATTACCAGGGCGAATTAACATTAACCCACAATGGTACCATTGTTCAGTAAAAAAGTTCCATTATAGCGAACCATTGCCAATCAGTTGGTGCAGCGTCAGCGGCTACCAGGCCCGACGGCATTTTGTATAGGTGTAATGGCGCTTTATGCTTCATGAGACGGAATATGGCAACGATTTATTGGACGACATGCAGCTACAGAACACAGCATATACTGTCTTGCTGGCGATGACCCGTCCTTTTATAAGTGAGGATCTCTGACTGACTTCCTCCTATTCTCGAATGGTTAATCTTCGCGAACCGCAAACCATATCGTTGCGACAGCCGGAATTTGGGGAATCCGGCTGGAATTTTGCGCTAACCAATCGATGCTCGTTCGCCGCTGCAGGTTTCGCTATATATATTCTGCATTCTAATATTTTACAGCAGTTTAAATGCCATGCAATAATCTGGCACGTTACAATGATAACAATGTAAATGGATATGGATGTAGGATGCAGATGCTTGCAACTGGTGTCGTCGTATCTGATCCATACCCTTTAGCTGAAATCGATCCTATTGCAGCTGATCCGCTACCTTGACAGGATTTCTATAACAGGTCGCATCTCTTATGCTATACAAAATAGACTTTATGAATAGAATACTAGAATTTGATCTTTATTATATACGCCACAATTTCATAAAAATGAAGCTAGTTTTCTAAACAATTAATAAAGGCCTAAGTTTGCCCAGATGTATCGCCTAATTCTAAACGAACATAATCCACTACAGAAAGTTGATGAGCCTCCAGAAAGTCTAAAACCGTTATATCCGGGTTCAGTAAGAAACTTTGGTGCAACAGTTCTGTCTCATTGTTCAACTGCGTTTGCTCCAAAATGTCATCCTCCTCGTGCTGAACCTCCATATCTTCTTCATGTCGTTCCGATCTCTCTTCCTTGAGATCTTCCAACGGTGGCGACACAACAGGAGCTTTGTTATCGTGTTCCGCTTGAGGTTTCCTGTCCACATTCCCAATGCTTCTTGGATTCATACCTATTATGTGCTGACATAGCTGCGAACCAACGACATCGTAAGATTCCTACGGTAACCGGATGAGATCAAGAGATTAAACAAGAATGATCGAACTTACCGTAGAACTGACTCCTTTATTTGGACGAAAAGCTAGAGCTGCAGCGTAGTGACCAAGAAGAACGTCGTCATCACTAAGAGCACTGGGCCGAGGGTGCACATATGCTGACAGAAACACGCCTGGACGCACTTTAAAATTCAAATTTCGGCGGACGGACAGATTTTCGCCAAACTTCACCAACGACATCGTAACCGCGTCAGCGACCGATTTTCCTTCGAAAGATTCGAGCTTTTGACGCGAGAGCACGTCAGGCGCTACACTCCACTGAAAGCAATCGTAATAACATCATGACAAAAAATGAAACTATAATTTGAATTTTGCACTTTACATTCGCTTCATAACTATGTGATCTCTAGAAGCCCAGGACATTGCTTCCACGGGATGGAGATGAGACAGCGTTCGAATTACGGCGATGTACATTACCTGTGGTCACCTTGAATAAGTTCATAATCTCCTAAACGATCAGATAAAACGGAAATGCAGCCAGTGAATAAGAAATAACCTTTCATCTTCGAGGCAACATGCATAAAGGAAGGATATTTCGATCACATTCTAGTTACCCAAATGCAAACACAAACGATTACCAGTTCGAAACAGTTTATCGTTTAAGAAAGCACATCGTGTAAAATCACCCAAGGCAT